GCTGCCCCCCCCCCCCCCGTACATACATTAAGCAGATTCCGAAGTCCCCTTCTCGCTAGACCGATTCCCGGGAGACGCAAGCGTGCACGCGGTTGATCGTCGTCGTCGTGCCGAACGCTTTCTCGCGGCGCCGAATACGCCAGCGTAATTGTAGCGAGCAAATCGATATGCGCGGCAGCTCTGACGGTGTGGCGCGCGCTGATCGCCGCCGCGTCTTCCCCAGAAGCGCGCGCTCGCGGTCGCTCGCAGTTTCCTCGCGCCGCACATCGACGATTAAACGGCGCTGCGGGCGGATCCGCGCCTGCCTCGTTTTGGAGTGGAGCGCCGCCACGTAAGTCCTGTCGGAGAGGGCTCTCGAGATAAGAATTGCACGCCGGGCTTTATACTTGTTTTGTCGCGAGCGAGGGCTGTTCGCGTTCCATTGAGCTCGCGCTGCACGCACGCGCGCGACGTCCAAGACTGCAGCGTTGGGGAAGAGCCTTCCATTAACTCGCGAACTCGATAGGACTTGGTTCGCGGAAGAGCGGGGAAAATTGACCGACCGCCGGCAGCCGCGGCCTGCGTGACAGGACGCTCTGCATTGCAAAAGCAGCAGCGATCTTTCCGGCAGCGCGCGAACGTTTAATGACGCGAGAGCCACGAAGAGGGGAAGCGAAAAAAATGCTTCCACTCGAGCTCGAATGCAGATTATCCAATTTCCCGCTAACAAGCGAGAGGGAGAAGCTTCGCGCACGGAGAGTCCCTCGGCGATAAGATGCTACTTGGAGAATAACAAAAAAGAAGAAGAGGTGGAGGAGGAGGTGGAGGAGGAGGAGGAAATCCGCGCGTATTTTCCGGAAGGCCGGCTGCAGTTTCTACCCCGCGCACCCTCGGCCCGAAAGAAGCCACGGTCGTCATGAATAATTCCATAAAAGCCTAGCGCTTCATTTCTCATTCCACGCGACGCGAAGGCGAGGGAAGGCAGGAGTAACGAGGAGCTCGCGCTCATCCTGACCATCAATTTTGCCGATCGCATGCGCGTTACGAAAATTATTAGCTTTCTCGGGCAGTGACGAGAGTCCGGCTGGACATTCGCGCGAGGAAAGCGCGGGGGCCGCGTGGGTTACGTCCGCTGTACTGAGCGCTCGCCCCGCGGCGCGGCCGAGTTCCTTAGGGGTGCCCAGCGCCGCCAACGGGCGGGTTATCGCGATTCGGCAGCGATCCGCGACTCGCGCGCGCGATATTCGCTCTTATTCCCGCGAACGCGCTGATAGTGCAATTAACTTTCGGTTCGTTCGCGCGCTCCACTGCGAAATTAATTCGCGCCTATTTGCGCCGAAGCTCGTTACAAGCGCAAGCGTACAATCATCGGGACGCCCGAGCGCCAATTTCAATTTCATTCCTGCACCATATTTAATTTGCAATTTTGCTAATTGGGCCCCGTCTCTCTCCCCCCGTCCCTTCGTCTTTCTCTCGCGACTGCGATCGAATCGCCTTAAACGCGACGCTCGAGTCGCAAACTCGTAATTATTAATCGTTTCGGAAGCGTGCCATCCATTTCTCTGATTAAAAATAAAAAGCGTTCGTGCACGACGAAAGGGAATTTGCGAAAAAGCACTCGCGAGTCGCAGTTCAAAGCTGCGCCACGCGTCGAGCCACAGGGGGGGGGGCGGAAAAACGGAGGCAGGCATATTTACCTTTTCCCGCGCGTAAAATTTATCTCACAATCAAAGCGTGGAATGGAAAGAGAAAAAAATTTTTCAGCCGTGCAATCCCAGGCAAGCGGCATTTCAACGGCTGCGCGAGGCACGCGAGCGAGTTTAAAAACCAACGAGATACGTACTTACTCCGAGGCGGCTCGACGCCGACACGTACGCTGAAAGAAGCCTCGGCGCAAGCCAAATGCTGATTCACGCGCGCGCGGCCGTTGAGTAAATATTCGATAATTAGGTTCGTGAGATATCGTTCTCGGCGGCGAGCGATCGCACTGGCGGCAGCCACCGCGGCTCGTTGGAAATTCACCGTCGATGCCGAATTCGAATTCGTCCTGGGTTCGGGTAACGAGCCGTCCGATCGGCAAAAAAAATGCGGCAGGCGCGTTCACGTCGAGCTTACGCGCAACGATATTGCACGTTCTAACGGTGCGAAATTTTACCGGACAAATATTTCTTATGTTTCCACTCCCAGCATAAACGCGACATTGGAACAGCGGACCTGTCTTTTTTCCTTGTTTTTATTGATTATCGACGTTCTCGATCGCGCTCGTGAGATTTGTCCGGCGGGTCGGTCCGCGACGCCGAGAGATTTCGCGTAATCGAGGCATCGAGGCACCAACGGCAGAAGGACAGAGGTGCGATGCTCGGCGTCGCGACCGCGTCGAAAGTTCGTAAAGCCCAATGGAGTCGAGGCGAGACTCAGCGGCTCGTGCACAATCTCGCGCGTTAATCTCGATCCCCGGCGAGAAGGCCTCGACTCCTCCGGCTTGAAAACTGACCCTTTTTGCCCCCTCTCCCATCCCCCGCACGGATAAAGGGCACTCGCGAGCGAAACGCCTCAAAGGCGAGAGACTATTTATTGGCCCTGTCGCTGATTTATATTGCGCGGAGAGTTTTTGATTATTCGACGCCGCGCATCCAACCGGAGCCGCTTTGCGCGAGCTTGTAATTAGTAGCGCGTGCGGCAAAGAAGAGGAGAGAGAGAGAGAGAGAGAGAGAGAGAGAGAGAGAGAGAGAGAGAGAGAGAGAGCGCGAAAGATGAGGTGCGCAACGGAGATTTTTTCAATTCGGAAGAACAATAATGACAAAAAAACGAGGTCGGGCAGGCAATTTTTCGACATAAATGTTTGAAGAGAAGTCTGTCGGCTATACGTATACATATTTTCACAATATCTGGCAGAGCGTCGAAGCTTCGTCGAAAAGAGCGTTAACATTTAACTGGGAAGTTTCATAATCGAACGACGGCGAACGTCACTGAAATTGAAAACTCGCGAGCGCTCGCGAACGTCCGTTTGCAGAGGTCAGCCGAAGTGTGCGGCGGTGGTTGTGCTCGCGTTTCAATAGCTTAATTGGCCGCCTCATCATCTAATAAGTCGCCAAATTATCATTTAATGCGGTCGAGCGAGACGGGGCCGATCGGCGAAGAGGAGGCATTAGACGCCGGCAATTGTATTGATTGCAGACCGCGCGCATCGTCTCCGTGAACTGAATCTTGAAAGGCTATACTTAGCTCAGGCATCCGAGAGAGACTAAACGGATCCATTTCAGGCCGCATATTCTAGCTCTATTTTAGGCACTCGGAACGGTCGAATAATTACAAGCGAGAATATGGTCGCGTGGATAGTTCGTCCGCAACCAGGACGATTTGCATTTTGCAGCTGCGGACTCTTGCCGAACGCAGCCGAATCTGTTCGGCGAGCGAGGAGAGGCCTCACCGCGACCGATAAGACGAAGGTCTAGTGCATCTCGGAGCAAAGTTGGCGCGCAGCCGGTCTACGGTACGTAACCCGTCGAGCGACTCTCCGACGGTAATCAGAGCGCGCCGGACGCGCCAGCGCAATTAAACTTGGGCCAATTAAAGTTTTTCCCGCTTTTCCCTTTCTCCTCTCGGCCAGCGTGTGTCGCGCCAAACGCGTGATTTCGATTCGAGCCAATCGCATCTCTGCCCCGTCGCCGAAAAGCGCGAAATTCCGTTGCGAGTTCCTCTTTTGCCCGACAAACGAGTCTTCCTCCGAGCACGCGCAGTCTCGAACGACTCACTTTGAAGAAGCGGCGCGAGATCTCTCGCCTCGAGCTTTTCTTTTGGGAGACAGGAAACTACCGGCAGAACTACTGGTTGCTAAACGGAGAGCAGAGTGGCGCGCGCGCTCATTGGCATCGAGGCCAGCTGCGGAGAACGTAATCACGCGGAATGCTTGTCGGTCATGAGTTTCGCGCGAAGACGTATTTCAAATATTAACGCCGGTGTATAATGCGCGACGCGGGCGCGCTTAATTGTTTCAAGGTTGACTTGTCGTTCGCGCGCGAAACGCGCCTCGTCCGGCGAGAGGCGAGCCAAATTATCCTCGATCGTAGCGATCCCAGAGCTCCTCGCGGCTCCTCGTTCTCGCGCAGTCGAGACTAGCTACGGCCACGGAAACTCCGGTAATTAGGCTTCGCCGAGCACTCGTAAACGGAACGACGCATTCGCAAAAGTAAAGCGGACGAAAAGACAGCAAAAGCGAAAATAGACGGGCACACGCGATGAAAAAACGTACGCTACATGTGGCTGCAGGTGGACCCACGCATAAAACCCAATCGTAAAGTCCGAAAGCTCGTGAGGTGTGACAAAAGCTCCAGCCCGGGCGCCCCCTCCGACGTCCCGCTCAAACAATCCGAATTGAAGCAAATAAAAGAAGGAGAGAGAGAGAGAGAGAGAGAACACGCGAGAGCGGCTTCGCTCGCGTTGTCCTCGGGCTTGGAAGTTTATCTTTGTTAACTCGTCAACTAACCCCCTTCCCCCCCGGCCTCTTTTGTGTGTTCGCAGCCCGTTAAAGACCGCACATTACAATGCTTCGTGCCGGAACGACTCTCTCTTGTTTGCACTCGCAGGCTTTTTAATGTTTCAGGTGTCCCGAGCGAAAGAAATGCTCGACGACCTCGCGGCGCGCGAGATATTAGGCGCTCAGCGAGATTACGTTCGCGCGCGTACACTGTCGGGTATCGAGTGCCAAGCAGCCGTGAACCGAGGCTGCTATTGGTGACGCTCACCGAATCTGCGCCAGACAGAGAGAGAGAGAGAGAGGCTTAATTAATTCCAAGTAGTTTTGTCGCGAAAGGCCTTAATCCTCGGGCCGGGCTGTTTGGCGCAGAGAGCAGCTCGACACGCGATTACGCCGCTGAAAAGCTGGAGTATAATTGACTCGCACTTCGGGCGTGCAGCGCACGCAGCCTCGAGCGAGCGTCCTCGCGTCCTTTGTGATCGATTGCACGCGCGTGTGCCTCGGACCGGAGTGGCAGGGGCAGCTCGGGTCGGGGGGTGCTTACCTGGTGCGCGGGAGCCAAGGTCGGGTTAGTAGGTTGCCGCCGTTGCCGCGGCTGGTCGCTGCGGCCGCTACCTCGTGCGAGCCGTGCGGCGTGCCTTCGCAGTGGAGCAGCTCGAGCTTCGGTCGGACGCTGCACTGTTGACGGTGGCGGGAGCTGGAGGACGGCCGCGGGAGCCAGCGAGCGAGCGAGCGTGTGACCGAGGGGGGAGGGGACAGGCGGGCAGAGAGAGAGAGAGAGAGACAGAGAGAGAGAGAAAGAGAGAGAGAGAGAGAGCGAGAGCGAGCGAGCACGGCTCTGCGGGACTCGAGTGTAAAAGCTGCGAGGCTCCGCGGTCTACTGGCGAGCGGAGCGCCTCGGCGTCGCGTATTATACTCGTCCGTTCGTCGACCGACGCCACCTCGCTCCGTCTCTCTCTCTCTCTCTCTCTCTCTCCCTCTCTCGCTCGGTCCGCGCGCGCGAGCGTCGGCACGGGTAGGACGTAGTAAAGCGTAGGCGCATGCGCTCTGCGTACGCCGAGCTTTTTTTCGCTCGTCGCGGTGGCGCTGCTACTGCCCTTAGCCGACTTTATCTCCGTATTGTTCGCTTGCTTTTGTTCATTTCCAAGGAGAGAAGGGAGGCTGTGTGGGTGCAAGCGTGAGCGCGCGCGCGCGCCTTGCCGCTGCACTTCGCTTTGAAAGCTCCGCTGCCGAGATTAGAGTTTAGTGCCACCTGCGCGCGCGAGAAAAAAAAACAAAGAAAAAGAAAAAAGAACAGAGCCCGCAGTTATTTCGACTCTGCTCTCGTTTTCTTTACTCCGGAGCGGCTGTGGATTTGGACCTGGGAAAGGATCGCTCTTTGCCGAGCGCGACTAGAAAATTGGGCCGTATCTCGAATCTTCAACTCGAGCTTTGCCGCGAGATAAATCCTCGTCGAGCGGATTGTTAATTTGCTAAATGGGATCGTATATTTCCAGAACCATGCCTCTTTTTGCTTTTGAGGCTTTCCCCACCAATTCAGCGAAACATCAAGTTCTTCGTTTATGCGATTTTCGAATAGCTACCTATCTCGCGAGGTGTACGCTCTCGTTCTAATTTCGAATTGTAGATTGCTCTTTTGTGCGAAAATAGATTTTAATCATATCTAAAGAGATTAACGAAGCATTTTCACTTTCAATGTCGAAGGATAATTTGCCGCCACGAAACTCTTAATAAATATTTACGTCGATTAGAAGAAATTGGCTTGTAAAGCAACAAACGATTTCTCTTTGAGTTTCAATGTTTCATTGCGTGGATAAATAAGTGGAAAGAATGCCATCCATCAAGATTGTCGCTTGAACTGGTATTGAACGAACGCTGCACTTTGCCTAAATGAAATTAAAGATTGCAGCGAAGGCTAGTTTTTCGAAATGATCCTGGAAAACATTACGAAAAGGCTGGATGGTTCATGGCCGTATCATTGGCCCTTTGAAAAACTGCATACTCGATTGCAGTCGACGTCGAGCGAGGCAACGCGTGCCTCGTAGCGCTTTTGCCGTCTGTCGTCAAATCAATATCAAATTGAATTCGTTCGCGCGCGCACTCGCGTCGCTCGTGGAGCTACAGTCCCATAGCCCGACGAGCGAAGTCGACACTTTCGGTTGCACAACGGAGCACCGGACGGAGCTCCCATAAATTTCTCACGCTGCTCTCCTAACGTCCGCACCGAATAACGTTCTCTCTCAGTCGCGGTGGAACTCCAAAGCCGCGGCACTGGCGCTCCTCTATTTTCCCTCGAGGAGATTTGGCTCGGTCTCTCATTAGGTGCTGGCCGGCTGGGCGAAGAAAAGTGGCGCGCTTAGGGCGGATCAAAAGCGAGCGAGATCATCTGGGATTCGGGGCCGTCGCCACCGCCGCCGCCGCGGATTGTCGGCTTTGCAGCGAGATTGCCGCGGCACATCCTGTCGCTCGAACAATGCGCCGCTGCCTTCCCCCCGGTTCGCGTGTCTCCGCTCTGGATGCGCGAGACGTCGAGGGCTTTCTTCGTAATTTGCCCCCGTCAATGCCGATCGGCCGCCGATTTCGCCCGGCGCGTCAACCTACTTGGCGTCCTACGATAGAATTAGGCGACAAGGCGATCGATTTGGGAATCACGAGTGCGCTCAGGTCGACTGCGGCGTCGCTCGTTCTCGCCGCGACGGGCGGAGATATTCGGGAGAAAGCTCGGCGCTAAACAGCACTCGCTTCCGTCTCGCAAAGAAGGCGAAAACAATTGCTTCCGCCGACGCTGCATTGTTGAGCGCCGACGAGAATCCTTCGCTCTGTCAAAGCAACACTCGACAGGCAGGAGAGCCGACAAAGGCAGGGCGCGTATCTCGAGTCCCGAGTAAAAAGAACAACGCGGCTGCGGGAGGAACGTGCCAGCCGCAGTGCAGCTGCTGCCTCGCGCGCAGCATTTACATGCGTAGCAATAACCCGCCGCCGCCGCCGCCGCCGCCGCCGCCGTCGCCTCTCCTCTCTCCCGACTCCAGCTGTTCGCTGGTAAAGGCCTTGTCTGTCGACGCCAGAACGGTACGATTAATAATGCAAAGACTTTTCTTACGTCCGACAGAGTTGCAAAGTAGCTCAATGCTTGTCGATCGATTTATTGGCTCGCGCGAGTAACGCCGCGAAATTGAGTTTCCCCACGGCGTTTAGCGTAAGTTCCGCGCGATAGGCGGGTGGAAGAAGATTTTCTTAACTTTGCGCGCGATATGGATTTCGCTTTTGGTGGCATAATTTGGATTATTTGTCGGCGACTTCATCCCGCAGTATTTCTTGCTCTCTCGCTGGCTGAGAACACCGTGGAATCCTCTTTACATTTTGATCCCGGATACGCTCGTCGTCAAAATGTCCGTCGCTTTTATTGGCGTGCAGGACAGCTATATTTGAAGCAAACGGAATGGCAAATATACATTTCTTTCGAGCGCGTTAACGTAAATCTGTTGTTTTTGATTTAATTTCATACCAACTGTAAGATACTTGTTCTTTAAAAAATCTTAAACAGAAACAGCTTTTATTCGAGCTTTAGCCACAGTTGATATAGTCGAAGATCCAATCAGTTCGAAACCATCTTATGAACAAGTGATTTCAAATGAAGAGCGCGATCAGATGTTTGTAGAAGATGAACTCTGAGAAAGATGCATTGAGTTTGTTTCGAACAAGGAATAAAACTCTTGTATCGTTGATCAGATCAACTTAGATATTTATTCGCCGGAAATGGCAACGGTACAAGTATCGAAAGGAGCCTCAGTAAATTGTGGAAGTTCGTGTCTTTTTTAGATTCCTCTCCATTACTTCCTGAAATCAATTCTATTGTTTATGGCTTTAATCAAGCGAGACCGACATGGTATTTCCATGTCCGAAAACACTCAACGTAGAATTTCGATCGAACGCCGGTAGTCGGAATTATTTTGACTGTTGGGTGGGAACTTATTTCGGTTAGCCATACTGGTATAATTACAACCGTAATGTGCGAATGCTTATAAATTGAGGTTGAATGGCTTTTCAACAAATGTTGGTCGGCACGTTTAGGCCATCACGATCAGCTCCTGAGGTGTAAGTGACCGATTTTATTCAAACTTGATGTAAATACTCTCTATTTAATAATGAGCTGCGTTATTAATTAATATTGTACGAAAAAAATAATTGACAGATTAAGAAAAAATAAAAAAAGTATTATATAAAAATATTAAATTACTAAAAATAACAAAATATTTTTAATAAACAATAATCATAATAAATACCTTTTAAGGTGGCTGCAACCACGATGCGCCGGTATTCAACCCCATTGAACGTACAGAGGAAGCGGATGATTGTCATTAACATTTTTTTCAAATATGAGATGGGATTTACGAGTACACCTCACAGTATCAATGTACGTTAATCAAGGCAGGAAGTCAGCCGGCAACGAGGTCGACTTAGGCTGTAGCGCCATAGGCCAAACCCCGTGCCATTATTTCTTATTGCTGCTGATATTATGTCAACTCAATTTTAATGTTCGTTCGTGTAGAAGGAAAGGCCAGGGACCCCAACGCGAAAAGAATTAAAAAAATTAAAGATATACTTCTGGAAGTAAAAGCCCTTTGTTCATAACAAAAGTTTATAACTTTTGGAATATTATTGAAAACGTATTCCTGCATGGATACATTGATAATTTACAATTTTACGTGTATTTAAAAAAATTGATATTAATAGCTTTAACGGTTGAATATGAATCTGAGATATGAATTATGAAAAATTTTCATCGTAATTATTTCATTGTTTATTACTTTTGACCTACTTTAGAGGTCGGAATTGTCTAAATGTCCATAACAAAGTTTACTACTATATAGAGAACGTTTAACCAAGTTTCAAGAAAATCGGTTACCTACACCTCAAGAGCTGATCGTGATACCCTGGAACGTACCAGCTATTGTAATTTGGTTGTAGGTTTGTCGAGTCGAACTCTCCGAACATTTACCCTTTGCTATGGCAACCTTGGTGCAGAAATGCCAATTGTTCGCTTGCAATAGAAGCTATTTTGTTGTCGCATTTCATCCAGCATTATTGTCCTCTTGATCAGTCGTAGGCTTACGTGCGCGTCTGAGTGTGCGTGTGTGTGCTGGAGTCAAGTGAAGAATTGTGCTCAACAAGAACAGATTCTTACACTCGTCAACGCATAAGTAAACATCGTATGCATTTGAATAATTGATTTCATAATGCAACTTCAGTGAATAACTTTTTGTCGTACCTCATTCGATTCAAAGTTGCACGAGTTACATCTGGACTTCCGTGTACAGTTATTAGCATAATGTAATGTATGCGCCGTTTTGTACTGTGCCTCCATAGAATTTCGCGCACTACAATAAATATGTATATTTCATAGAACAAATTGACATTTTTCCGAATGTTAAAAGAGCATTCTCACCGAATCTTCAGGGCGCAGCCCCTTAACTTGTCGATTTTATCGTTTTGCGCAGTGTGACCCCGACGAAACTCGTTCGAGCTGTCGCCACGTAAAATCGCGTCATCACAAAAAATTAAAAAAAAATTATAAATGCACGCGGTCGGTCTGTTTAAAAAGCGACGCTCGTCCGCGCGTGTAAATGTAAAAAAATGTTAGTTTTACGTTTCGAAAGATTCCGCGGGCCTGACGCCAACATCTCACAAAAAGAAATTAACACCTGCAACTGACGCTTCTTAATCTGTGTGAACGTGTGCCTTGGCGGCGTATTCGATAAAAGTATTTATGCTTATTAGGTGCTTAATTAAAAGAAATGTTGAAGAAGCCCGTAACCCGTTCGACTTTTGAAAGAAGCACACTGGTGATAACGTTTTTCCACGTGA